CTCTGGAGCAACGCCAAGTGCATTCTCAAAAGCTAAGACCAGTAATAAGATCTCAAACACAAGCCGATAAGATATAGTTAACTGTATAGGTCATTTCGGGTTGTTTCATTTCGCTTAGAAACAAAGTGCGGCACGCGTTGCGATAGATAGAGAGACAGAGAGAGAGAGAGAGAGAAAGAGAGAGGGGTAAGTCGAAAATTTTGAAAACAGCGCCCAATCGATAAGCACTACATAAGCACATGTATGTATGTATGTATGTATATGCATATGTGTGTGTGTGTGTGTGTGTGTGTGTGTATTTGTTAATATCGAAGCAATCGTCAGCTGTGCAAGCCCACAGCCCATGGGATAGCTGTCTATATTTGCTCGATTGTCACTTCTGATGACCTTGACACGACCTCTCACACATACACACACACTTGCACATGTACCCTATCAGTTGGGCAGTGAGATTGGTGCGTGTTAAGGTCGCTTTTTTGGGCATGGTCATAAAAGCTGTCTGGTTCTTATCGGCGTTTTGCTTATGCTACACACACACTCACACACACACACACTCAGGCAAATACACACGCTGTCTGTACGAGCCCCTTGAACTCTCTACGCATACTTCGATTACCTTTGGCAAATACACCTTTGTTTACATTGGAATGGGCAGCTGATGATGGCTTGAACTCACCTCAGCCGTGTGTGAGGCGGCGATGGCGGCGGGCCGTGCCTGAATCTGCATGCGAGTCTTGACCACGTCCAGGGGCTGCATGATGCATACTTCCAGAAAACCGGCCGAACCACCTGACAGCACTTGGAAGACGGCTTTGCGACCCGGCGATATGGTGGGTATATGATCATTTTGGCTGCTCATCTCGTTGCTTTCTTCTTGGTCGGTGCTTCGGTGTGGTTTGTGGAATGCAGACTGAGACCAGAGGTTTATTTATTAGATACCCATATATACATTAGATGCGCACTTAAATATTTATGCCTATGCTTATGCGCAAATTTTCAGCCTTGTTTTTATTTGTATTTATATTTTTTTCTTTCTTATTCTAAAAGAAAGCAACTATGAGCAGAAAATTTTTAGAGTCTAAACAAAAACAATTTTGAAGCCGAAATATCTGAAGCAATGCTCACTTTGGTGCTAGATGCCCGCTCCGATAGTCACAACAAGTTGGGCAATGAAAACAAAAAAGTAAAAAAAACAAACAGCAACAACAAAAATCGCAATAACGATACAGCAAGAGCGGCAGCGATTGACTGAGTGAGAGAGAGAGAGAGAGAGACAGAGAGTGAGAGCAAGCAATGGACTCAACGTTTAGCCGCCGCGCGCCTCGACAACAGAATTCGCACTGAGCTCAGGCAGGCAAATGGAATGCTGAATGCTCACAGGGCTGGAGTCGGACAATCGGACGACGAAGCGTCGCGTCGGGCAACGAGGCGAGACGAACCACTGGCCGAGCTTTCAGTGACGCAGTCGTCGCGACGACGCGTGCTGGAAGAGCTTCTGGTCGCTGCTCGCTTGTCGCTGTCCAATAACATTTAACTGCGCTCGGATCGCACGAAAAGCTTTCGCTGATCTGCGACGCAGCGACGTCATCTCAAGTGTCAACTCTTTCTGCTGTTATTGTTTTTTTTTTTTCCTGTATTTTTCGGTTACTTTTCTCTTCCACTGCGAGTGGACTTCCAGCTGATAGCGCGAGCTGTATAATGGATTGACTTGTAATTAATATACTGATTGATATGGCCACAGCCAAGGAGATAAGATTACGTTTCGATGGTCGCTAGCAACAAGCTGAAGAGCCCAATAAATATGACAGATTGTGTGCGGGACTAGGGTAATTATTTAGATGCGAACAAAGCGATTACATGTTGACTGATAAGATATGCATCGTATAGATATATCTAGAAACAAGTGTATGCATGTATATGCACATGTATACATGTCTGTCTGTATTTCTCTCATCCATCCATCTTATTTCTTCTCCCTGGCGTTTGTTCTTTCGCAATTTTTGTCTCCTCTATCACAATCTCTACCTCTTTGTCTCTAGACTGTCTGTTACATTCTCGAATTTCTATTTCTCGATCTCCCTCTCTCTCTCTCAGTCTCTCTCTCTCACTCCCTCTCTCACTCTTTCTTTCTCTTTCTCTGCGTCTTTCTTTGTATTCCTCTCTGATTCTGTGTTTCTTTTTCGATAGATTCCTTTGCGTTTCCCTCTCGCTCTCTTTCTAACCTCTCTTTTGCTTTCCCTCCCTCTGTTTCGCTCTCACTCCCTCTTTCTTTTGCTAATGAAGTAAATGTCCTACTTTATCTCTCTTTCATCATTCAGTCTCTGTTTCTTTCTCTCTATCTTGTCTTTTTATCTTGCCTCCCTCTCTTTCTTTATCTTGTCTTTCTCTCCCTCTCTCTGTGTGTCCCTATCTCATTTTGGCCAATGCATTGCTATTTATGAAACCGTAAGTTCAAACATTAAGAACACAAGATTTATGATTTTCAGTTCAAGTCTAAAAAACTTCAAATTGTTAAGCTTTATCGGCTAAAAATTAATAAAAGTATTTTTAATAATATCAAAATATCAAAGTCCATCTAGATATGTATTTAACTCCTTACATACGATCCACAAAGGGAATTTTACTTCTTTTTGGTTTTCTAGAGATCTGAAACATCTTGAGATTTCACACCTGACCATTAGATAGCTTAGCTCTCTGGCAAATGTCATTAGGCGGCATTCTCTGCCATCCCAGCCAAACGTCAAATGAGTGTCCATACACACATACGTATATGTATATATGTTTATTCATGTATTTATCTCTTTACATACGATTGTGTCCACTCTTACGATATAAGACATAAGACAAACGAATCATTTGACATTTTGTCTCCGCGTATCTTTAGCTTAAGCTGTCTCTGCATCGGCATTTGTATCTGTATCTCTATCTGTATCTGTATCTGTATCTGTCAGGTCGCAAGTGTATCTGACAGATGCATCTGGTGATCTTCGCTTTGGCTCTTGATTAGTTTATTGTTTATTATTCATAGTGCGCTCTATGCGGCGCATCAATCAGTTGATGCCACGCAACACAGCCAGAAGAATGCCACAAAATATGACGCACAGGTAAACCCACACACACACACATACAGAGACATGTCTCAGGTCGCTAAGTGAAGTTTCTGTGAGATAGATTGAGGACAGATTTCATTTGCATAAAATGCATTCTATAACAAATTGACGGAACAAATTGTTGGTGTCAAAAATGCGATGCGCTTGACTGAGCCCCCGCTACCCAAGATACCCTATGATTTACATGCCAGTCCAACATTCCTCTCTTGTGTATGTGTGTGTGTGTGTGTGTGTGTGTTGGCGTTTGTCTTAAGTCTGTCCAAATATTTCTAGCTGTTAATTATGGGCACGAGTTAGCGTGTGCGATAGCTCGAAGAGTTAGTGTGGAATTTCAGATAAGAAGAGAGAAGTTCCCCTAGCCGATCCATCGGAGCATTGGATAATAGTATCAATGCGCTTAAGCGAATTTAAAATGCATTAGAGACAATTAAAAGCTCATAAAGCCCTGGCAAATGCCCTCCAATTCAATCTAATTATGCTGTAAAGTCACGCAATTGGATCAGACAGCCAGAGAGTGGGAGAGATCGACCGAGAGGCAGAGAGAGAGAGAGAGAGAGAGAGAGAGAGAGAGAGAGATCCCAAACGAAATGATATAATATCGCAGCCATAAATTACCACCTAAACGTAGCACTTAATAATCGATATGAATGAATGGATATACTTTGAAAATCGTTCTCAATCCGTTCACACAGCCGTCGCTGCAGTCGGACTTCTGAGATCTGAGATCTGAGATCTGAGATCTCAGGCAAACGGGGAAAATGATTTTATTTTTGTAATTAGCTAGCGGAACAGGCATACAATGGAATGGAGAACAAGAGCAGGCACCAGCAGATAGCGCCGATTGATCGATCAAAGCCACAGATACAGGCTAATAAATCATTTTTCCATACTCATTTTCCATTTTCTTAGCCCCTGCCAAAAGTGAGAACTCACGATTGCCGTACCGCACCGTACCGCACCGCCCGCGGTCCATCCAATTGTCTGTCAAAGGCTATTAACCCCATTTTGGCGGGGCCGTTCCACTTGTTCCACTCGGCTGTGGTCATGTTCAGTTTGTCAGTTTTCTCGGCCACCCTCTCTCGCTCTCGCTCTCGCTCTCGTTCATGCTCTCGTTCATGCCCTCGTTCTCGTTCTCGTTCTTGCTTGGGAAATACTTGTAGGTTGCCCAAATTGTTTTTCCAAACACCGTGCACTAGAAACACATGTAGAGCCGTAGAGCCCCACATGTGAAACAAAAGACCCAGAACTAAGCACACACACAGAGACTTTGTTGGCCCTAAACATAGCTGGATTCCCATCAGAATCGGCTGCCATGTTTTGATCGACGAACGTCAAGCGATGCATCCAAAATATTGTTGCATGTCGAAGCATTCCGTAACGCCAGAAACCAAATCAGTTAGAGTGTTTTGATTAATGTCCGTTTTGACAGCTGTCCATATGGAAGGCTTTCCCCACCCCCTGCCTCCTGCCTCCTGCCTCCCCCACGCCATGTCTGCTGCCCACTATTTTGGTCAGACTGGGGCAACAGCTGCAGTCTGCGGCTAGTAGAGACGCCATTAGCAGCCATCAGAACAGAACCTTGAAGATTAGCTAGGAAATTGGTATCCAATCCAATCTATTCGACGCCGACCTTTAGTGGGCCGTGAAACGAGTTTAGGCCCAATTTCACGCACAATAGTGGAAAATGGGTGAAATTTTCGATTTAAGACTCGATTGCCATTAGGCTTTCGACTTTCGACTGATTATCCACTTAAAGCTGCACGGGGCGGGGGCAAGGGCAAGCTGAGGGCCTAGCTCCCATAGAAGATCTGCAATGAAACAAGTTCAACTTTGTTGAACTTGGCCATGCGACAATGTTGAGTGAGGCGTAAATATGGCCTAGAACCACTCGAGCCACTCGAGCGGACTTGATGTGGCACAACCCACTGAACTGCGCTGACCCGCCGAAAACAAGTCGCACGATTATTTGCAAAGCCCTCGAGCGAAAGCACTCGGCGAGCCGTTGGCGCATATAAAGACTGCAGCTGGGGCTGCCCTCTTGGCCATTTAATTGGAAGACGCACACCCAAATGGAGGCGCTGAGCAGTTGGACTTTGGCGCTGCTGCGCCTGCTGAGCGCCCTGCCCGGCAGCTGGGCGTGGACGCCGGCGCGCACGCCCTACTCGCTGGCCCACAGCTACTTGGACGCGGCGCAGCGGCCGCTCTGGATACTCGAGGACGAGCTGATGAGGCGCCAGGCCAGGCAGGACTCGGACTATGCCACCAGCACGCGCGCCACAATAATGCGACGCGCCCAGCGAGTCCAGCGGCGACAGCAGCGCCAGCATCTGCCCACAGCGATCACAATACGCGTCCGGCCCGACTCGGACGAGGAGGTGGAGCGCCTGGTGGCGCCGCCGCTGGCCACACCCTCGCTGGACCAGCGCCACTATGTGCTGCCGCATCGCGTCCAGCTGCCCAGCCACTACGTGCAGCAGCTGGCCCAAACCACCGCCCGGCCGAAGCCGAAGCCGAAGCCGGCGCAGCGACGCCGCCAGCCGCAGTCGCTGCCCATTTTCGACAGCGCGCCCGGGGACAACGCTCTGCCCACCGCCAGCTACCCGATCTTCGTCTACAATGGCACCCGCGGGGAGCTGCTGCTCAACACGATGCTGAGCGCGCAGCGCTACCCCATGCAGGAGCCGGTGCCCGGGCAGGTGCTCTACCCGCCCTCGACGCCCATGTTCCGGCCGAAGCCCATTGTGGAGCGCCTGCGACTGCCTGGCCAGCGGGAGCTGCTCAACCTGACGCTGATTCCCTTCTATGCGCACGAGGCCATCACCATGCCACCGCTGACAATGGCCACAGCCACAGCCACAGCCACCAGCACCAGCACCAGCTCCACCACAGGAGTCGCAGCCACCGCAGCAGGCACGGGAGCTGCAGTCAGCAGCAGAGAGACATACCCAACTGATCCGACGCCAGCATCCGCGCCAGCTACTGGCCCGGGCACTGCAACCGCCTCGGAGCCACTCGCACTGACCACGCCCATGACGACGCCCTACGAGACGCAGCTGCCGCGCAGCAAGCACAAGAGGAAGGCCAAGAAGGCGAAGCAGTACAACGCCTATCGCTCGCCCCAGGAGGTGGTGCAGTGGCAGCCAAAGCTGCGCAGCTCGCGCCCACTTGAGCCACCGGACAACCATCGTCACTACGTGGTGGCAACCACCGATAGCTCGCTCACTGCGCCGCCGGAGCAACAGCAGCTCGAGCAGCTCGATCAGCTGGAGGCTGAGATTGAAGATCCCGTCAGCCAGGAGCTGGAACTGGCCGTGCCCTCGGAGGCGGCACTGCTCGAGGAGACGCGCACCAGCACCGTCAGCGGCGCCGGTAGTTCACCTTCTTCCTTCCAGATCGTCTACGTGGACGAGAGCATGGAGGCACCGTACGACTCGCTGGCCAGCACCACTGAGGCGCCGCCGCTGCAGCGGCAGAGCTCGCGCTACGCTCTGAAGCGCGAGTACTTTGCCTTCCCAGTCTATACGCTGGGCAAGCTGCTGCGCAGTCCCAAGCCCCAGAGAACGTCTGGCATGGAGCTCGATTGCTCCGACTCCGGCTCCGGCTCCGGCTCCGGCTGCCTGGACCACGAGGACAACACCTGGTTCATTCTGAACTCGCGGTAAGTGAGCTGCACGAGCTACTCCAGCCGGTTCATCTGACTGTCTCCCATATTTACAGATACAAAGGGCGCCATCGCAATGACCAGGGCAAGGATCAGGTCAAGTATTACACATCCAAGTACGTGCAGAATCCGCCTCGCTAGCAGGACGCCACCTACGTCTGCCAGTATTCTCTGATGTGATCCTCATTATTATTGTATAATAGAGAAACTATTTTTTTTTTTAAATCGATTTTTTTTCTGTAATAGAAATAAAGGATCGTTACTTGATCTGTTGATCTTAAGTCCTGTTTCATTACTAATCTGCACTTTGCTTGGTAGAAACTGATTCTTAATCTCTCTCTCTCTCTCTCTCTCTCTCTCTCTCTCTCTCTCTCTCTCTCTGTTTCTATGATTTTAAAGTTAAAATATTTGATCACAATGTTTTTCGAAATTAATTCATGATCTTTTTAACTGATCATGTCATGATTTGCTTTCGTCTGTGGGCTTTGCTTTACCTAAATGAATTCAGTTTTTGATATAGTTCTTGCACTGCTTTCGACACTCGTAAAACTGTTCTTAGCCGAGAATGTTTCCATGGCAAATGATTGTAAATTGATTTACTGGTCTTCATTTATTGCCTTGCGCTTTGCTGCATACAAATTGAAACATTTTATAATCCTTGATCATTCGATCTTTTAACATGTTGACAATCGGACCTCTCCTTCTCTCTCTCTCTCTCTATCTCTTAGGCATCAACGTTCATCACAAGAAAAGCTCATTACACGGCACTTTGCCGTTCTTTCACGCTCTTCTCAATCGATCGCGTCATGATCACCTGATGGACTGATCTCGACATTTGACCCCAGCATTTCGCGTCTTAACGGCTCATGAGCTGCTCAGCGGTGTCATTAAAACTGTGCTCCATTAACACCTCAATAACCTCCTGGACTCATCATCTACTTTTTCTTCTGCTTCTTTGCCTGTTCTTTCGGGCGGGTCGTATAAGACTCTGAAAGGGTTTAGCATCCATAAAAAATGGCAATAAATTCCAAGAGACACAAAGACGAGGCATTTGTGGGCGAAGTTTCGGCTAGAAAGTTGTCATAAAATGCAGATTTAATGATCGAACCACTCGATTCCAATGCCTTGGAGCCAATTGTTCTGCTCGACCATTGCATAAGAAGAGCCCGATGGGGGACGAGAATTGGGGAGCTGGAAGAGCTGAGGCCTCTGGCAGGGCATCTGCAGCGTGCAAAAACAATCACGAGTCTTCCAGCGGCAGATGGAAATGTTGTGTGACCCAAATTCCAGCATCAAAAGAAAATCAAATTTCGATGTGTGAAAAGCTGAAAAATAAAGAAATAAAATGAAACAACAACAACAACAAAAGGAACAGAAAATCGATATACAAATAAAACCGAAAAAATAGTCATCTACAAATATTTATGGCTAATTCAATGGCCTGTGGCGGGGCAACAGTCCCGCCCCCCGTCCCCTGTGCCACGCCCCTGCCTCAGGGCCGACGCGACGTCATTCATTCAATCATTTTGTCAATGATGGGGCTTTCTATTCTTATGGCATGGCACGTTCATTATTATTATTGATTTCCCGACTTATTTTTCGCTCTCCTATACGACTTTTCAGTTCTTTCCAAGCCTGCAATTAATTTTCTCGCGCTCTGCAGCGCCGCAGTCGCAGTCGCAGTCGCTGCTAGCTGCTAGCTGCCTTGCCACAGTGCAACGTGCCACAAAAACAAAAGGCAAACGGCAACAAGACGCATGCCGTGTGACCGCCTCCCCCCCTCGCCCGTCCAGCCATCCCATGTCTGACGCATGCAGCTCGCGGGCAGCTGGAAATGGGGGGAAATGTGGAAATGGAAATGAAAATGGAAATGGATGCAGCCGCCAGTAACCCAAGCCGCAGCCTCGGCTCTCGCGTTGGCTCCCAGCTTGCGGCATCCACAATATAAAAGCTCGGCCTCCAACTGTCTTTGGGTTTAGAGCAAATGCAGCTGCGCACGCGTACGAACCCTCTCGCGCTTCGCCTCGATTCTATTCACTCTGCCTCTACTTTTTTTTTTTAACGGTGTTTTGTGATATCGCCAGCCTGTGCAGGATTATCAAACAGGAAGCAAACAGAAAATAAATATATATATAATCGCGCCAATTGAGTACAAATCTATCGAAAATGTGGCAATGTCTTGTGGTATGTGAAGAAGAAATATTCAAAAACAAAAATCACAAAATATAATAATAAAATAAAGATATTTTTGAATGTAATTATAAACAATAAAAAAGTCCATATACAAGTTAATAACAGTTAATAAAATAACAAAAATACTAAAAATTAAAATAATTAATATATTAAAAAACAATTCATGTATGAAACAAAAAATAAATAAATAAATAAATAAAAAAAATAAAAACAAAACAAGAATACCAAAAACAATAAGCAAATTATTAAGAATTAAAACATTTTTTTTGTGTAAAAAATATGGAAAATTAAAATTAAAATATAAAAATTTTAAAAATAAAATAAATTATAATGCAAAATATTTATAAATACTTCTAAATAAATTATAATACATATAATATAAATATATAATAAATACTTATAAATAAATTATAATACAATTGAAGCAATACTTGAATTATTAATGCGATTAATTGTCAAAATAAGAATAATTGTATAGCAAACATTTTTTTTTTTTTTTTTTCAAAATAGTAATACAATAAATATTATAAAAAGTAAAATTAAAATCCTTTTTTGTATTGAATATTTATTACAATAATGATTTCAAAAAAAATATATAAATATAATATTGAATAAAAAAACATTCTGATTGTAAAAAAATATATAAAAAATAATAATAATTATAATATTTTAACTATATAAATTAATTATTACACAAAAAAAAAAAATACTATATTGGACAATTTTTTAATATTATACTAGAAATACTATAAATATGCTTATCAAATATATAGAATACAACTAATGACAAAATATAAAAAATTAAGAACATGAAAATAAATATAATAAATAATATGTTTAAATATAAAATAAAATATTTGCGAGTTGCGCACATTTTTTTTTTTTTTATCTTTGATATATTTTTTTTTTACCAAATTTTTGATTGAAAAAATGAAAAAAAGAACATATTTTTTGAAAAAGTAAATATACATATACCTACAGACGTTTGTTGGTTAAAATTAAACGAAAAAACAATATATGAATTTTATTTTAAATATTTTAGTTTAGTTTGTCTTCATTGATACAATATAAGAATTAAAAATAAAATAGGTTAATAAATAAGCCAATCTTTAATTTAACATATATTATCTAGGCCATTGAAAATCCTTCCCAGGTATATAAACACAGTCTCACATTCTGACCAAAGGGCTCAGCAATCAATGCATTTCAGCACAAGTAAATGCAGCCAATAAATAATGATGGACAATTTCGATATAGTTTACTTACTAACGAGACGATAATAATCCATAATAGACAGAATAGCAATGAATCGTCATATTTACTAACGATACCTAATAATCCATGAAAGACATAATAGCTATTCTTTGCCCTGTGATTGCAGCTCATCGTTGGCCTAAGTGCGCTGCCTTTGCCCACGAGCGGCTTCTGGTGGCCCAAGCCGACAACGTAAGTCAGCCGGACGCTGGGGAATGTGCAGCTAGCAGTTGATAATGAATGGCTTGCTTCTTTGTTCGCAGGGAAACGCCGCGGAGTCAGGTGCTGCAGCAGATACCACTCACCTACTTTCGCACCTACACCTACCAGCCGCTGACGGGCGGTGCGTTCGGGGTGCCGCTGTTCGGCTTTGGCGCGGCACAGACGCCACTGCTCGCGGGGCGGCACTATGACCCCTATGCCCAGGTGACCAGCTACGCGGCTGCTCGACGCCATGATGTTGCTGGTGGTGGTGCTGGTGGTGCTGGTGGTGCCGGTGGTGCCGGTGTCTTCAAGACGGACATAACGCCGCCCGCTCTGGCCAGTGCCAGCAGCGCGGTGCCCAGCACAACGCCTGCGCCCACCACAACGACGACAACAACAACGACGCCAGCACCGACGACGACGACGACAGCAACCACCACGACGACCAGCAGCACCACGAGCGCACCACCGCCCAGCAGCAGCACCGAGGGCTCGTCCTCATCGCTGCGCTACGCTGCCTACAATGCGGAGTATCCGAACTACAGCCGTCGCGTGAACAATTTGTATAATGCGCGTCCGCAATATCCGTATCCGGATTACTTCAACTACCAGCCGCAGAACGCGTTCTCGGAGAAGGGCGGCAACCGCATCCAGTTCGTGCCTTGCATGTGTCCAGTCAGCATGCCAAGCATGTCCAGCATGTCCAGCATGTCCGGTCTGTCGGGCATGGGTCTGAATGGCGCCACCAGCTCCGATCGGGATCGGCCAACGGGCGTGTCCATTAGCAGCGGTCCTGTCGCGGCGCCGCCGCTAGGAGCCGCAGATGCAATGTCCGCGGCCCTGCAGGCGCGCCACATTGACAACGACGAGGCTGACTTGGGGGACGAGGCGGAGGAGGAGGACGAGGAGTCTGATGCGTCCGCAGAGGCGGAAGAGGCTGACGTCGCCGTCGGCGTTGCGCTTACCACGAAAGTGGCACTCGAGCCGCAGCACACCACGCCCAGCACCGTTGAGTCCAACAGTGTGGTCTAGCCCTGCCCCGGCCACGCCCACCATAGTATTAGCAACGCCTAGACTGATTTGTACAACGCTCTCGGGTGGCCAGTTCCAGCGACAGTTTGGCATTCTTCCCCACTGAACTAAATCCTTTGCCTTGGTACCAATTTTTTTTTCTTCCTAATAAAATATCACTAAATGAATTGCAGCTGGACGAGTGTTTGATTATATACTTGAAGAGCTATGAGAATCTCAGAGAAGGGCGCAATACTTGGCAACAGATTTCAAAATAAAATACAGATGAGTCCTTGTAGTCAGTCTGTCTCTCTCTCTCTCTCTCTCTCCTTGGCATCTACCAGCTCTATGCAGGGTATCTTTTAGTCAGGCATTGCCTGCTGAAATTACTTTTAATTTAATTGTGTTCTCATTTAATTTTTGTTAGTTTTAAATTTAGCATAATGTAAAAAGATAGCCAAGCAGCAGCAGCCGCCGCAAATCTGATGACGTCAATGCCGCAGGAGTCGGGTGCGTTGACCTAGACGGCGACGACATGAAAGCCTTAAGTGATTCGGAAAATTACGCATTAAGTTCGTTATTCCTAAGGTGTGAAGAGGGCTAATTGTGTGGGAGCTTCCGACGTCTTTATTAGCCAAGGGCAACCAAATGGCGGGTAGAAGAGCCTCACAAAGAGTTGCCGAACTGCGCTTGAATCGCTTTTAAATGTATACAAATATACATTACAAAGGCTAATACATATTCTATTTATATATTTATAAGGTAAGCTTAAAATATACATTTAGAGCAGGCAAGACTGAATCGGACTGTGGCTGAAAAAAAAAAGAAAACACTTGAAGCTAATTCACGGGATTCAAGTAAGTCAAATTTGCTTTTCGAAGAAAAAGTATAATCTAAATAGAATCCATTTATTCTGAAAAATAGAGATAAAATAAAGTTCAATATTGATTTGACCAAGTTCCAACTATTCGGTCTAGTAGACCATGAAAATAAACTAGAAAAGCTGAAATTTGTATATGATAATAAAAAGTCGTTTTGTTTTGATTTTTATTTTTTTTTTGTACACTTATGTTTTGCTTTTATTGGATCAAATGATTCGTCAATTACATTTACACATAAATATGGGCTAATACTTAGCGCTTGCTGCGCGATTTCAACTAACTTCCTCAGCTTCTCGCTGCATACTTCTTGCCACTTGCCACGTGCCACGTGCCACTCGCTACTCGCTTAACGCTTTCGCTTTCGCACTGCAATGACTCCGACTCCGACTGCGACTGCGAATCCGAAATGCGATATGCGATCTCATTCCAATCGGTTTAATGCCTTAGTTCATACACATCAATATATATGTGGTACATGAAGTACTCTTAGTTAATTGAATATTTGTTCATTTCATATTTTGTTTTAGTTTTTGTTTTGTTTTGTTTCTGTTTTTGTTGATTTCGATTTCGATTTTGTGTTTGTTTTGCTTTGCTTTGCTGACCAATTAACAATTAGAGTTACATACATATCTAGATGAAATTGTGCATCGAGTCTTAGGAGTACATATAAGTAAAGTCCTTAAAATAAACCGCAGGCATTCGCATTACATAATTAATAAACATATTCGTAAGAAATTATATCCACACACGGATCTAAAGTATACACATTATAAAAGTCCAAAATAATAATAATAATAATAATAATAATAATAGTAATTATAATAATATTACAATAATCATAATAATAGAATCGTTTTTGTTTTACATATAATAAATGTATATACATGCATGTATATATGCATATATGTAAGTAGTAGAATACAATCAAGAGAAAAATATATAATCAGTCATTTAAGTTGTAGATATATACACATACATATAGAGCATGCATATATATGTATATATATATATATATATATATATATATATATGTTATACATGTAAATTGTTGTTGCTTACGACATATACAAATTGAATTCTGCTTTCTGTGTTTTTACTTTAACAATTAAAATGTTACATTCTAGATTTCATTATCTATGCTTAGTTTTGCGCGCGCACATACTGGATATATACTATCCCAGATTAGCCCCTGTCCCTACCTACCTCCCTCCCCTACCCCCCGTCGTATACGAGCGTATACGATATATGCCAAACAGATACAAAGATACATTCATAGAACATGATACATCTATGTATATATATATTGTATATGTATTTAAGCATATACTGTTGATCTCGTGCCTAGATCAAGACATTGACGTCGTTTGTGAATTGAGAAAATGTGTGTGTGTATGTGTTTTTTTTTTTTTTTTTTTTTTTTGGGAAGTGTATATTGATTAATGTGCTTCCTCTCCTCTTTCTGCTTTTTCTTATTATACTTTTCTTCTCTGCTTCCTCTACTTCCTCCACTTCTTCGTGTGTCATGTTTCATTCTGATTTTCTTTAGTTTCATTTTATCTTTTTTTGTTGCATTTGCAACTTACGTGCTACAAACTGCATTAATATGGCCTATAAGTATTTAATATTTGTTGTCTCTGAACACACACACATATACCTATTGATATTTCAAGTACATCAAAAGCGTCTACACACACACAAAAAAAAAAAAAAAAAAATACCGTAGACATTTTATATTCTTGGATATGCTATAATTTCACTTCCTCTTCCTTTCCTTTTATTCAATTTCTTTGCGATTATTCTTGTTCTCGTTTTTTTTTTTTTCTTGTATTTCGTTTCTTCACCTCTAACTGATTGCATCAGTCGCAATTACCTTTGCGGAATACCCTCACTTTTCCACTTCCTGGCAAAGGCATTACCATGAAAAAAAAAATTGTGCCAATAAATATTTATTTTTTCCCCTCGATTTCGATTCTCGAGCTTGTCGATTTCTTGGTTTGTTTTCGGTTTTCCTTTACTTTTTTTTTGTTTCTTTCGTAGTTTGTAAAATAGTTAAATATTAAAAATTAATGAGATTACGCAAGCCTTAAGGGACTCTTATCATTCACAATCATTCACACACCTCATGCATTGAACATATTGAAAATGTCGTCAGAAAAAAAAAAAAAACAAACAAACAAACAGAAACCGAGCAAAAAACATACGTATCACAAAAAGTTTTTGTTTTTCGTTCTGTAGGCGTGGCAGACAACGGACACACAGCAAACAAATAAGTTAACTAACACATTAAAAACAAAAAAAATCTATGTATATCTTATATAAAAAAAAAAAAATTAATATTAAAATTAGTTGGGTCTGGGTCAGTGGAACATTGTTGTAAAACTAAATGCTTGTATAAATCTCAGATCTCTCGTACTAGAAACTATAAATTATACGTATATAGTATATAGATAAAATATAACTACAACGAATTGTCCATGTAGCACAAGCAACAGCTAAACACCCATCACACACGCCCCACGTCACACGCACACACACTGACAGATAGAGCCAAGCAGAATTCCTTGCGGTCTCCTTGCAGTCGGGTAACTACGATCTCCGATGTCCGTGCGCTTCTGGGGGCATGCTTACACAAAGGTCTCCCTGATGACGGTGTTGCTGCTGCTGTTGCTTAGATCTTAGAACTCAGTTGATTGTCAAACAAATGACGAGAAGCCGGGCAATGGAGCCCGCGATCGGGCCATGTTATTGACGATGATCTGGCCGCCATTGAGGCTCATTACGGCGCTGCCCTCTGGCTCGGAGTCAGTGTAGCTGGAGTAGTTGCGCACCGGCTTGGTCTTCTTCCACGACTGTCGCAGCGAGTCATTGACATTGGCATAATGATTAACGAACGAATGCGGATCGCTGCGCACGCTCTCATTCTCGCTCTCCGAGTGCTGCAATGGAAAAGCTCGGATTAGTGCCTGCCCTAAGCCCAATTGATTCCACGCAATCAGCACTTACCTGCGAGGCCTCAGAGCTGCTCACTTCGGATGGCTTCTCGGTTACGCTGCTGTCATCGGGGTTCTCGTCGTAGCACTTCAGACTCTCCTCGTCACTGTGATAGGCCACCGAGGCAGGCGAGGGCCTGGGGGGACTTTTGCCCAATTGGGCACTAGTGGGTGGCCGATTGGTCGACTTGCGGCCGAGAGTGCCCAGGGTGCCGCTGCGGAGGGTGCCCACGCTGTTCAGGGTGCCAGTGCCGACGCCGTGACGCGAACGATATAGCTCCAGTGCCAGCTCCTGGCGCTCATCAATCGACATGGCCATGGACTCCTCCAGTGTCTTCTGTGCCTCCTCTGCGTCGCATCAAACACAACCAGGATTAATTGAAATGCAAGAGACTCGAGATTAAGTTCACTTCACTTACGCTTGTACTTGTAGCTCTTGCTCTTCACGCAGAGCACGGCAATGACCATCACAATGATGACTATCGATGTGGCCGCCAGCGAGACCATGAACCATGTCTGCCTGTAGAAGGGCTTGTGCTGCAAGTAACCGTACTCCAGATGTAGCTTCGATGGTGTCAGTATCGAGTCCTTGCAGTAGGCCGGAAACGAGATGCCGTAACGGTTATAGGCGATCACACGGAATGTGTAAGCGGTCGATGGCATTAGTATATGATAGCTAACGGTATAGTCTTGCATGGGACCCTTCTTTGTCTGCTCGATCTTAGTCCAGCGCGAGTCGTCTGTGAGTTGAGAAACTAATATTTAGACAAGTCCATCAATAGGTTGCTCTAGCTAAGGCTCTTAATATTTGTAATTTTAGTAATTTTAGTAGGATTTCATGCAGTGGAGTGTAGAAGAGTAGTAGAATTAGTAATGAGAAATACTTACATATAAACGACGGTTCTCCTTTTTCTACGCAAGCATATTGGAAATTGGTTTTAAAGATAGTTGTTTTTTGTTTTCGTTTGGAAACAGTTCACCAAAGGTTATTGCAAAATAGAAATCAAGAGAGTTAAGGTAAAGAGCGAGAGGGAACCAGAACCGTATAAATATTGGGCATTTTGGGTGGATACTATGACTTACCACGTTTCTTGGCCTCGATGAGGTAACCAAGTATGGGTCCACGACCGGACGGCCCATTAATCCAGTGCATTTCGACGCTGGACAGCGTCTTGCTGAGTATGAGATCGCGTGGTGCTACGGGTGAGCCGTCCTGTGGGCCGGTGGTCACATTCTCACTAACCGCCGGACCGTAGTCAATCGTCTGGGCGCGCACAGTGAACGTATAGGTGACCTCCTCCTCCAGATTCTGAACTCGTAGCGTGGTGTTCGATACCTTCTGCTTCACCTGCTTGCTAAACTCTGTGAACGAGATGATGGATGGGGTGAGTGAATTGGCCTAGTTTCAGTTGACTTGTCGCTTACTCTCATTCTCCTCGGTGGTCTCGTAGGTGACCAGATAGCCCAGGATTTCGCCATTGAGGAACTTGGGCGGATCCCAGCTAACCTCCAGGCTCTGCATGGTGATGTCCGAGAAGCGCAAGTTGAGCGGAGCACTGGGAACACCCTGCAGCGTTTTGACCGTAACGGGAGCGGAACGTGGTCCATCGCCGGCGGGATTGAAGGCCAGCAGCTGGATGCGGTATTCGGTGTATTTGTCGAGAAAAACGAGACTGTGCGATGTGGCCGTGGCCGAGACAACTTCGATCTCCTCCTCCCACTTGCGGCCGGGCTCGAGTGCCTGCGGTGAATACGTGACCAGGTAGAAGATCTTGTAGCCCAAGATGTCGCCGTTCTGCATGCTCTGCTTTGGTGGCTTCCAGCGCAGCCGCACCTCGGTGCTGGATATGGCGGCTGCATCCACGGCACGCGGCTCCCCAGTGGGCACCGCCTCGCCGACGTAGACAGCAGCTGGCGGGGTAGCTGGACCCGGGCCCTGGGAGTTAAACGGCAAGACAACGATTTCATAATTGCGATCCTGGGTCAAGTCGGAGAGCACCACGCTGTTCACATTGATGCCCATGACATCCGTCTTCGGGGTCGACTGCAGGGCAGTGGGGAAGTCTGAGAGCTGTTGATACAATATGCGATAGCCGCCAGTGGCTGCATCTCCGTTCCACATGCCCGTCTCCAGTGCGCTCCAGTGAACGCGCACCGAGGTCGTCGTAATGGGCACCACCTTCAAGCCGCCGACACCAACTGCGGGGGCAGCGGGCAGGGTGCGCACCACAATACTTTCGCGACTGAACGCCGAGGGGCCCAGATCGTTGGTTGCCTGAATCCGGAACTGGTAGGTGGTATAGGGTTTCAGTCCAACAGCCGTGTACGAGCTGACCAAAGGATCGACGCGCTCCGGCAGTGGCTGCCACGGACCCTCATTCTCGCGCATCTGCACCGTATAGTAGCGCAACGGCGCGAAGCCATCTCTACCGGGTGTCCAGCTGAAGGTGATCTGGTGAGCCTGAATCTGGCTGCGCGAAACCTGCGGCACTGACGGCGCCTGCGGACGATCCCTGTTGTTGGTGGTGTACACCAGCACGGAGGCTGTCTTGCCCCAGCCGAGGCGCGTCTGGGCGGTCACACTGAAGGTGTAGTAGCGCTCGGGCAGCAACTGGGTGGCACGGAAAGTGCGATCCGAGGGCGGGAACTCGCGACTATAGTTCAGATTGGCGCTGCCGTTCAGAGTGTAGGTGACCTGGTAGGCGAGTATCTCGCCATTCGGATCATCGGGCACGTCCCAAATGATGCGCGCCATTGAGAATGTCACATCCGGGAAGCTGACATTCGACGGTGCTCCGGGCGTATCCTCAAAGGTCTGGACACGTATCGGTGGCGTACTCAACGCACCGTCACCCAATCTGGTGTAGGCCAGCACTTGCACATGATAGACCACATATTTCTTCAGCTCCGTCAGCGTGGTGGTGAACGAGCTGTTGTTCGGTATGGTCTTGTGCAGCACCGGTACGACTCGATCTGTGGCTGCGTAGAACACTTTGTAGCCCTCGATTTGTCCGTTGCGATGTTGGCGCGGCACCTCACCCCAGCGCACCACCACAGTGGTTGAGGATGTCGCGTTCGCCTCGACCTCTAGCGGACCGTAGCTGGGCGTCGCCTCGCGAGTACGCTCCTCCGCCGCGTTGCTGGCGCGCGAGCAGCCGACATCGTTGCAGGCATTGATTAGCACCTCATAGAGAGTCCATTCCTCCAGGCCGTCCAGCACATGCGAATTGGCCGTATGATCCTCGATGAGCGTGCTGCGCGGTGGATGCCGTATCGTGCCCGCCTTGTGCTCCACCTGACGGTAGGTGATGTTGTAGCCACGCGGATTGCCGAACCACTCGGTCTGCTGCAACGGTATCCAGCGCACGCGCAGCTGTTGGGCGCTCATGGCCCGCACGGTGACGTTGTACGGTGCGTGCATGGGGCGCGCCTGTATGGTCTGGAAGTCCTTGGTGGGCTCCGACGGACGCGAGCTGCCCACCACATTGGTGGCGCTCAGACGCAAACGGTACTGGGTGAAGGGCATTAGGCCGGTGACCGTGAGAGTTTCCGCATCGGGATCACTGATCTCGCATATGGTGAACCAGGTCATGTTGCGTGCCGTCTGGGCTTCCACTTTCCATTTGGTGATGCTCGAGTTGCCATCGAAACCGGGCGTAAACTGCAGCACCACAGAGAACGCCTCAATGTTGGACAGTGCCAGGTTGGTCGGCGCATGCGGCAGAACTGGCTCCACGCCCGACTGTATGGTCGCCGTCTTGGGCGTGCCCCGGCCAATGCGTGTCCAGGCACAGATCTCGAACCAGTAGTGCGTGGTCGCCTGCAGCTGATTGACCGTGAGCTGCGTATCCTCGGCAGTGAGATTGATCGACTTCATGGTCTCCGGACGATCGCGCATCTGATAGCGCACCGTATAGCCCGTGAGCACACCATTGGCATGGCGGGGCGGTGCCCAAAGGACCGTTACGGAACGATCGGAGATGTCGTCGAAGTGCAGGGCAGTTATCTCGTCGGGCACATCCTCTTTGGTCATGACAGACACTTTCTGGCTGATGACACCGTCACCGGGATCGGTAAAGCACAGCACGGTGATGTTGTATTTGGCGTACTTATCAAGGCCATTCAGCGTAGCCGTCTGCTCGGCTAGCGGATCGATCAAGCTGGGCGGTACAGTGATCATGCGCTTCTCCAAGTCCTGATACTCGCCCTCAATCAGATGCTGTTGCCACGCCTGGATCTTGTAGCCCTGATTGATGCCGTTGATCTGCTGGGGATTCGGTGGGGTCCAGCTAATCTGCACAGCCGTTGAGTTCAGCGCGAGCACACGCAGATTGGTGGGCGGTGCCTCGGGTACGCCCTCCTTGGTCTTGATCTTGGCGCCCTCGGTGTAGACGCCCACGCCCATATTATTGTACGCAGCGATCTGAACTATATAATCCTTCCAGGTGATTAGCTCCTGTATAAGAAAATTGCGTTGCGCCTCGTTCGTTATGTTCTGATACGACCAAGGCACATTGTTGTAGCCATAGAGACGGTAGCGTAATATATAGCCCAGTATCTGGCCATTGCGATGCTCCTCTAGCGGCGGCTGCCATTGCGTTATGATTTCCGACATCGATCTGGCCGAGCCGACAAAGCCAACGGGCGGGCCCGAAGGAGCTGAGAAGATTTTGAGGAAATACAAAATATTACTCAATGATCTATATAAATGGATCCAATCAGTAGGTGTTGTGCAGCTTGAGACATGTTTACGTGTGTAAGTGTTAGAGAGAGATCTCTTTCTCTTTGATTTATATACCTCGAAAAAGTGGAAACACTATTCGCGCATTTGTTCATCAAAAGCGGGCGATCACGACGATGCAGTTTGACGACAACGATAGCAGTTAGAAGTACAATACATACATTGGGTAATACAGCATTAGTTCTAGCCACTATACAATACTGATACAAAAAATTAATTTATATATACGAGTGCAGAGGGCAACCCTACATTGGGTGCTCTCAGGAGACTCATCAATAAACGAAAGATAATTGAGTAAAGTCAAAGCAATAATGGGAACCAACCAAATAATTGGAGTTTAGAGCTAATTGAATAAATCTTCATCTATTTGAAGAGTTGTGAGCTCAAAATACTTAGAAGTACAAGTAAGAACTCTATTTGAATAAAAAGTAAATAATTATTAAAGAAAGAGGAAAATATAAGACCTTGGAGTCGATGTTCAGGAATCAGGGATATATTACAACATAAGAAATGACGATAGCATTAAAAGTCAAAGCAACAAAAAACAATAAGAGACAAAGTTCAATACAAATAAAGCTATAAAAGGCAGCCTAAATGGGGCTATTAGTGGGGCACTTACCTTCTTGGGGCAGCTCGACGATGTTGCTTGGCTCCGAGGGTGAGCCCTCGCCGACGCGATTGACGGCGCTCACCCGAAACTGATAGACGGTGGCGGCTTTCAAATTATCCAGCACGATCCAACGTTGATCGGCAGAAACGTTGGTCAGTTCGGTGATCCAATTGAGGAGCGGATCAGGTACTGGACCTACGAATTTTTCTGTGATGTTAATGTGTTGAAAAACGTCATTGTGAAAGGATAGAGGAAGAGAGAACAAAAGTAAAGGAAACAGAGAGAGAGAGAGAGAGAGAAGGAAGAGGCCGAACGTGCGATCGTCAGGTTGTGAGATGTGGAAGAGGATGAAGTAAGATGAGTAATGGGTGATGAGTGATAAGTAATAAGTGGTGAATAATGTGTGAGTAAGTGTAGGTTTAAGTCATGGGTGATCACCGAAGAGTAATGAGTAATGAGTGATAAGTGATGAGTGATGAATGTGTGTTGGTGTTGATTAACGTATATTTAGTTTGATGTTCAAGTGCGATTGTGTACGCGTGTGTGTGTGTGTGTTGTAATGTGCGAATTAATGTGCGAGATAAGTGAATAAAAATAAAAAATAAAAATTAGCAAATTAACAAAAAAAATAAATACAATAAATAGATCACATTTATAGTACATTATATTAGTTACATATAGATATTTACAATATATTAGACAGGTAGTTGTTAAATATGTTGATCCGTCACACGCAGCATGTTTTTTGTCAAGTGGAAGAAAAGAGAGAACACAATAAGTATAAATTTAATAATAAACTAAATGTGTAAAGTCTAACTATCTATCTAGATCTATCACTAACTATATGTGAGCTAAGCTGATCTTGGTATGAGTAATGGGACGGAAAAAGTTCATAATGGAATATATACTATAAAATCTATATTAATAATAATATACTAAAAATTTATATTCAATAGACACATTAAGCAAGAAGTCGAGTTAATTCCTGCTAGACCTCAAGGAATTCACCGGACACCGAATCTGCGGGGTGGCTAAAGTTAATCTCAAGAGACTATATGTCCACCCAAAGGCAACCCTGCTGCAGCTTAAGGATCTAGTTTCAGATACCATCAGCCTCAGCCTCTACTCGACCGTCTCTTGACTTGTCTCTCTTGACAAATCTATCAAATATCCTCGCTGTCTGTAATAGCTCAACTACAACTACTACACTCGCTTTCTACCCCTAAGCTCTGTATTTTGCAGGCTTGAAAAATTTAATAAATATTTTATAAATACATATCTAGTTTAATTTGCCGAAAGCAAGTTAGGACACTAAGCTGTAAATGTTTAATCAAATAGAAATCATAGAAAATCTTTTATTTTTTCCTTTTGACTGCAATTCGATTTGACATTGCATTTAAAAATCTGTTGCATACTTTGCGCATCAATTAAATCTGATAGCTTAGACGAGCTTAACAACTACAACAAATGGAAATTTAAAATAACATGAAATAACATGAAATAATAAAGGAAACATCTCTATAGTTGAGACAAGCACATTTTTAATGGGAGTCGTAAATAGAATCGAAAAAGTTAATTGAATTCGAGGTAGTTTTTTTTTTCTTGTTTTTCTGCTGTTATGTACTTCTCATTGTTGTTATTCCTGTTCCATATATTGCTGTTGTTGTTGTTGTTGTTGTTGTTGATTTGCTGATGAGATTTACATGTTCTCTCTCTAATTACATAACCGGCCCCAGGGCCCAAATCAGCTGCTCAAACAGCAGCCGGTGAGTTGGTATGTTCGTCTGTTTCTGTATGTGTGTGTGTGTGTGTGTGTGTGTATATGCGTGTGTCTGATAAATCAAATGCCAATACCACAAAGATCCATAACCTTGGCAACAACTACATACGTAACGCTAACCCAGACAGAAAAAGTGTAGACTGAACGCTTAGATTATTGGACTTACCCAGTTCGGAGACCTCGCGACGCTGTATAATAAATTTGGCTATTGGACTGTTGCCATCGAAGCCCGGCGTCCAGGACACATTGATGCTGCGCTGATGCGGCTCGGGCAGGCGCTCCACCCTCACGTTGCTGGGCGGGAACGGCAGCTCGATGACACTGAGCATTGCCGAGCGCGTCTCGTTGCCGCCGGGCGATGTCACCACACACGCATAGCTGCCCACATCGCTTGCCCGCACCGCCTGTATCTCCAGCTGGCCATCCGCCTGGACGCCAACGCGCTGCGAGTTGACAATGGGCGTCGATTGGCCCTCGCGATACCAGTCGATGTTGTACGGCACGCTCGGATCGCTCGACACCTTGCACTGCAGCGTTGCGGTTAGGCCAAGCAGCACGGTTGTGTCTACCGGCGGTTGAATGATTTGTGTGCGCACTAAAGTGTAAGAGAAATCCATAAAGAAAGATAGGGAGAGACAGAGAGACAGAGAGAGAGAGAGAGAGAGAGAGAGAGTCAGTAAAATGTCATTTAACTGCGAAACAGATAATCATTCGTCGTTGCCTATGGCTGAGCTACATACTAGAGACCAATGGCTGGCGCATAGGAATTAAAGCTTTAAGGCTGTGCATGTATATGGGTACAAGTAGATATACATATATACACATATAGACATTCATGCACACATCTATATATATCTATATATATATACGTTTTTCGCCTGCCTTTTCAGTCACTTGGCCGCATCATGCATCAAAAGTTCAACGCGCTCGACCAGACTTTGAGCCGAGTCCGTTCTGGGCCTTCTTTTTTCTCCCATATATTTTATTTTTATTTTTTTTTTTTGCTGCGCTTTCTTTCTGGCCCTGACGACCTTTTTATACCCTGAACCCATTTTCAATGGGAAATCAGGGTATAATGGTTTTGTTGAAATGTATGTAACAGGGAGAAGGAGGCGTGGCAGACCCCACAAAGTATATATATTCTTGATCAGGGTGACGAGCTGAGTTGATTTGGCCCTGTCCGTCTGTCTGTCCGTCTGTCCGTCTGTCCGTCTGTCCGTATGTATGAACGCGTCGATTTCAGAAGATATAAGAGCTAGAGACTTCAAATTTTTTTTAAAATGTCCGTAATTACAGCGCGCATATCAAGTTTATCATTAAAAATCGATAACTCATCCCGATCTTTTTTATCGATAAAAAACCTTATCGAAACCCAGTTATAAAATTATATCTTCTACACCTTTATTGCTAGAGTCTCCAAATTTTTAATGTATGCTTATATGCAATTTATACAATTTCGGTTTTTGTTAAAATTTACCCCCCACCTCTAAATTCACCCCCTCACCCTCACTTTTGTAAAAAGCGTATTTCAAATACTAGAGACTTGTGCTTTGGCAAGTACATGCATATTCATGTTATAATCATAATCTAAAAGTTTCATGAAGATCGTACGTCCATAAAAAAAAGTTATTAAACAATTAAGTTCTCATAGTAAGCGCACACTGCAGCCCATGCGTGTTTATGCGTGGTTGCTTGTATGTGTATGTGTGTGTATGTATGCGTTTGTGTCTGTATGCGTGTGTGTGTGTATGTGTGTCTATATGCGTGTGTGTGTATGTTTACCTGTGTGTGCGTACGTGCGTGTGTGTGTGTGTGTGTGCGTGTTTCTTGTGTAAGCTGAAAGTCGCGAAAAAGTATTGAAATATCTATTGCTCCAAGGGTTCAGGGGATCTCGTAGTCGAGCAGTCTCGACTAGAGCTTTCTTACTTGTTGTTGTTGTAGTTGTTAGTGAATGCCGCTGCCTCGTTTGCATACCCTACACTACATTCGCACACATACAAATGCATACTCTTTTTGGTTTTGATTACCGTCCTCATACGCCATGCGTTTCATGCAAAACAAAATGCCAAAACTAACAAGAATCTAGCGGAACGGCTATTCACGACTGTTGACATACTCTATTGCGCCAAAGAGACTATAAGATTAGCTGTCTATATGTATATCTATCGATGTATTTATGTGTATATCTATTTCATATTTCATATTTTATATTTTGTATAGCATATTTCATATATATATATATATATATATTTTTTTTTTAAATGAAGTATGTATGTAAACTCCATTCATGTATTCTACTCCTATTCTATTTCTACTCCTATAATCTATTTCATATTTAATGATTTGAATTCATATATCGTATAGAACCTTTCATATTTTATATTTAATATTCTATATTTAAATTTTATATTTTATATTCTGTATTTTATAGTTTATATTATATATTTTGTATTTTATATTTTATATTTTATATTATATATATTACTTTTTTTTTTTTTTATTTTTATTTTATATTTATATTTTATATTTTATATTTTACAGTTTACATTTTATTTTTTATATTTTATGTTTTATATCTTATATTTTATATTTTACATTTTACATTTTATATTTTATATTTTATATTTTATATTTTATATTTTATATTTTATATTTTATATTTTATATTTTATATTTTATATTTTATATTTTATATTTTATATTTTATATTTTATATTTATATTTATATTTTACATTTCATATTTTGTATTTGATATTTGATATTTGATTTTATATATTTTATATATTATTTTTTATATATTTTTTAGTCTATATTTTATATTTCATATTTTATATTTCATATTTCATATTCCATATCCCTTATATATTATATATTCCTCATATTTCAAATCTTCATTAGGCTGACGCACGTATATACTCGCTTTGGCTCGATGTACGATGCAGCTCAGCTGCACCGCTTTGCCAATTAGCCGACATTGATGTGGCCGTTTAGTGAGTCGTTCTAGCTGCAGCTAAAAGCCAGGCTTGCGGACTGCTTTATTGCATTCAAAATACAACAATGCGCTAAAAAACTCAATTATTATTGTTGTCATAGCTGCTTGATATTGTCATCGTCGTTGCTAATGCTATTGGCACTGTCATTGCCATTGTTGTTGCTGCTGTTGCTATGGCTGTAGCTGTGTCTGTGGCTGTGCCTGTGGCTGCGGCTGCGGCTTTGATGGCAATATAATGCATTATGTTGGTGCCAATAGAGTTTTAGCTGATTTGACCCGCGACCCGCGACCCACGCAGCTGCTTGTGGCGCAGTCTTGGTTGGTTTTTATGGTGCTGCCGTTGCTGCCACACTTTGCCGCATGCTGCATCGCTGACAATTTGCAATTGCGGCAGCTCCTGGGCACTAATATTATTAACTCTTTCCATTGCTGTGGTCGCTGTGTGTAAGTGTGCGTGTGCGTGCGTGTGCGTGTGTGTGTGTGTGTGTGTGTGTGTGTGTGTGTGTGTGTGTGTGTTAAAAGCATCAAGCAAACTTGCATGCACAAGCTTAAATGCATTTCTACATACATTTAGTTGCAGCGTAATCTCAACTAATCAATTTCTCTGTGCATCGATTGAATTTGACCTCCTCATACCGATATATCTTAAAGAATATAAGAGATATATACCAAATACATTCAGATCTTGTTTTATGTTTTCTTCTTCTCTTCTCTTCTGATAATATGCATTGTTTTATATACATATTTAATTATCTTGTACGCTCTCTCACGATCATTAAGTTTTTTTATGATCATTCAATTAATCCAATTAGAATTGCAATATCTTTCAGTTGTACTCAATTCCAAGTCCTCAATTGTAGTAATATCATTCATATGTTCATGCAGCTCAGGCTTTTCCTCATTCATCTATCTATCTCCTAGGGGAATATCTTATATACATATATATTATCTCATATGCTCCTCAAAATCTTTCTAATTTGTTCTCTACGTTATATTACTCTCGATTAGATTCGCTATACATTTTCACATGCTTTTCCTACCTATTTCCTTATGATAGCTCTCTCCTGAAATTTCCCATATCTCTTTTAAGCTCGCTCTCTAGGAGTTTAGTTGCCTGAATTTGACTTAATTAATGGGTGCAACAGAAAATTTTGTAGCTCAGTTAGGCTCAGTTAGCTCAATTAAAGGGGGTTAGCTTGGCAGTTGCAAATATAAAAATTCGCATATCTAAATTATATTAGTTAGCATTCCATTGGCCCAGCATCCGGTTGAGCAGACACAAAAGATATGGATGCGTATATGCAATTAGTTTTGATTGGGGGAGTTATCTCTGCAGCTCTATAGCTCTGTAGCTCTGTAGCTCGGCCCACCGATCGATATTCGATTACTTACCCAGTACGCTCAGGTAGGCCTCGCCCTTGACGCTGCCCGCCTCGTTGGCCCGCACACAGATGTAGAGGCCCGCGTCGGCGGCGCGAATGCTTGAGATGAGTAAATCGCCAGATTCGAGTATTTGAACACGGCTCGATAGCTCGACCAATTGAGTTTCTAATGTTGTTAAAATTAACGGGCGGGGGAGGAGTCCGACGATAAAGCAAGCGGGTTGCAGTTGCAGTTGCAGTTACAGTTGTGGCACAGTTGCAGCAGTTTACAGTTAGCAGTTTAGTCAGTTGGGTTAGCATACAAAAATAATAAAATATGTAAACAAAAAAAAAAAAAAAAAAAAGAAATACACGAATAAACATCGAGATTAGATTAGCATTTTGGCTACAATTCAAACGTGCATTCACATATATTCATATCGATAATCAAATGCGCATATGCTGCTCCTCACTCACCATTGTAGATCCAGGTGATGTTTGGATTTGGTGCGCCGGCGGCCCGACAGGATATGGTTGCATCCTTGCCATCCAGTGCGGTTACGTTCTGCGGCGGCTGCTCCATTATCGGGGCGGAGGCTGTGAATGGATGATGTGGATCGAATGTTGAGTATTCTGGCAAACTGAGACGCAAATCATGCATCAAGGTGTGGATAATTTCGTGGTGGCTGTGCGTGTGTGTGTGTGTGGGTGTGTGTGTTCAACTCAATGGCAAATACGTGGCTAAGCATGCATGCACACTCAAGTGTGTGAATGTGTGTGTGCGTAGGTGTCGGTGTGTATGACAGTGTGTATGTGAGTGTGTGTGTGTGTGTGCCAATATTTGTTTGTTGTGCGCTATATGCGCCCACAAACAATACTTCAATATTGACATACACAAAGTAGCCAAGGATAATATCAATATTAATGCAACCATCTGGCAACGCCATAATCTCATTGGCTACTTAGGTAAATACACAAATTTTACAATTCACAATATTAAGTCACTTATGAATATGTGTGTTCCGGAATTGTGGAATGACACACTTAATATGTGTTTCAATCCTCTTTCATTACAATTTGTAGATTAGATTAGGTTTTCCGATTCAAATTTATAATGTCTATATATATATATGGGTGTACAAATAGATATTATGGTATTTACTTTCGAACAATGTATATAGTTTATCTATAATTTCATGTGGACTATTTGAATGAAACATACAGTGAAAATTAGTTACGTGCAATTATAATTAAATACTTTTCTACTCAATATTTATTAAATAATATATTAAATAATATAAATATATTTATTAAATAATATAAGAGAAATACCAATTGCTACAGCTCCATTGAATTAATATTCTTAGTGGAATGTCGGAATGGATCATGCTATTACATATTTAATACCCAAAAAAAAAAAAATCTTCAAAATTCCTCCAATTATTATTTGTTATATTTTGTAGTGGAATGTTGGAATGGAACTTGTTATTTCCATAGCTGCATAAACATCTATACAAATGTTTGCCCCACTTAACTAGAATTTGACATATGTTGCAGTGGAATGATGGAATGGAACATTAATTCCATAGGAAACTTGTAATGGAACATGATATTTCTTATTCAAGCGCCTGCAATTACAATTAGTGGCATGTTGGAATGAAACACAATAAGCTTGACATGCATGCAACAATACACGATTAACATGAATTAACTTTACCAATGGAATTTTGGGAATGAAACAGAATATGCACACAAACATTCCGCAAATATGATTGCAATTCCAAATTGTTGTACTGAAATACATCTTTCACTACGCGCAAGGTCAATTTATTTTATTTGTAGCTACTGCCACGCCCACGCCCACACCAACGCCAACGCCAACGCCCTCGTACACAATGACATTAAAAACTCCGGCAGCGGCAGCAGTTCTCAATTATTTATTGAGTCGCATACTTGGCAAATGTTTTCTCTCCATTTTATTTTTGTTTCATTTTCATTTTAATTTTCATTTTTCATTGTTGCCATTTTTTTTTTTTTTTTTTTATACACACATATATTTTGTAAAAATGGCGATTGTCAGGCTGCAAGCAACTGTTGCTGTTGTTGTTGTTGTTGCTGTTGTCGTCACTTACGCAATTCGAATCGCAGCAGAAGTAATAATGTAATTATTTCATATGATGCATCCATTTTAACTCCGCTTATGTAAATAAGTGCATAAAATTACAATAAAACCTTTTTTGCGTGCTTTTTCCTTTTTCAATTTTACATTAAGATATTAAGTGCTCCACGACTGTGTGAGTATGTGTGTACGTGTACGTGTGTAGGTGTGTGTAAGGTATATTGTATGGCTTGCGGCGCAACTGTAGACAACTGTTATACATTGCACAGGGCAACAAAAAAGACAGTAAACTGTGCTCTAGTCGGCAGTGTTCGACTAGCAGATACCCTGTACTTTGAGAACAGTTACCTTTTTTTAAATTTCTATATGCACACATATACATACAAAACATACACACATATACACAAATACGTACACATGGGCTGGGACATAGACTAGTAGCTCGAATTACTATGGGAACTGAATTAATGAGTAGTTTTCTTCTTCTTTAAAGCATGCTCATTTTTTCAAGTGTAAACAACACCGAAATCTACAAACGCAGTTCGAAACCCCCAGCATAAGTGGTGAAGAAAGCAAAACGAATTATCGATAAATATCGATAGTACAAAAATACGGATGGATCAGTTCAGATCAAATGATAGAAGTAGGATAACGATTCTAAGTCTCGAATATCCGCAAAAACTAATTGCAAATCTTCGGCTTTTGTCGTTTAACCAACTAATAATACAATCGATATTTATCGATTGTACGCAAATGAGATGATTTGAGAAAAATAAAAATTATAATATAGATAGAAATATGGATAGTTGGTTAGGTCGTCTCAACACATAATCCTAATTAATCATTCTAATCTGCCACGCCTTCTTGCGTTCTGTCACATACTCATGCAAAAAGCCAATATACCTAAAATTTCACATTTTCAATGGGTTCCGGGCATGAAAATAAATCGTTAAATAATAAAGACGAGAAGAGTGAAGGGAGCTGCAGCGCACTGATAATGGTAGCAAATATTTATGATCAATATTTTAAGCACAAAAATGAAATTCATTCGCCCCCAAATATATATAGTTAAACATCGTCATCGATAAATGCAGAATCCGATTTTATGCAAAATTGAAATCCGAACAAAAACTGCAACTTCATCCAGGTGGGCAAAAACAAAGAAGAATAAAAACAAGTAAGAAAGCTCTAGTCGAGACTGCTCGACTACGAGATCCCCTGAACCCTTGGAGCAATAGATATTTCAATACTTTTTCGCGACTTTCAGCTTACACAAGAAACACGCACACACACACACACATACGCACGTACGCACACACAGGTAAACATACACACACACGCATATAGACACACATACACACACACACGCATACAGACACAAACGCATTCACACACACACATACACATACAAGCAACCACGCATAAACACGCATGGGCTGCAGTGTGCGCTTACTATGAGAACTTAATTGTTTAATAACTTTTTTTATGGACGTACGATCTTCATGAAACTTTTAGATTATGATTATAACATGAATATGCATGTACTTGCCAAAGCACAAGTCTCTAGTATTTGAAATACGCTTTTTACAAAAGTGAGGGTGAGGGGGTGAATTTAGAGGTGGGGGGTAAATTTTAACAAAAACCGAAATTGTATAAATTGCATATAAGCATACATTAAAAATTTGGAGACTCTAGCAATAAAGGTGTAGAAGATATAATTTTATGACTGGGTTTCGATAAGGTTTTTTATCGATAAAAAAGATCGGGATGAGTTATCGATTTTTAATGATAAACTTGATATGCGCGCTGTAATTACGGACATTTTAAAAAAAATTTGAAGTCTCTAGCTCTTATATCTTCTGAAATCGACGCGTTCATACATACGGACAGACGGACAGACGGACAGACGGACAGACAGACGGACAGGGCCAAATCAACTCAGCTCGTCACCCTGATCAAGAATATATATACTTTGTGGGGTCTGCCACGCCTCCTTCTCCCTGTTACATACATTTCAACAAAACCATTATACCCTGATTTCCCATTGAAAATGGGTTCAGGGTATAAAAAGAAGAAGCAAAGCCAACGCAAATTGAGTGGGTTAAAAAGTTAAGCGTGAAGCTCGCTCTTTAAGTGGCCATTGAATAGCCGACAAGTTAATTAGGTTTAAGTGCTGCTTCTTCCTGCCGTCCACCCCCCAAGACTTTGACCAATTTAATAATTAAGGCAAACGACAAAGCAACGAAGACATTACGCACTCTATGTGAACGAGCGAGTCGCGCGACTCGAGTGGGCCTATGCGTTGCGCTGGCCACATTCGTTGATTTTTATTGAGTAATTACAACAATTATGCCAGAGCATGAATAATAAAAAAAAGCACAAACTATTGAAGAAGAGGAGCCAGTATAATTAACCGAACGACAGCTGAGGGAATTTACAGTATCCCATTGAAATTTTCACTTTATGCATAATTTAGTTGCCTCAACTCGCGATTCATTGAGATTTGTTCTCAGCCAAGCGAACTTTGATTATTTTCATATTTATTTATGGGGCGAGGGCTGTTTGAAAAGTATTCCGAAATTTATATAAATTTAAAAAAAGTGTAATTCTGTACTTATAATTATTATAATTTTTTTTTATTCATAGTTTGATCTATAAGCATCAAATTTGGAATATTATCTATATTGAACCCTTTAATAAACCTCATTTGATAATAGAGAACACATTGTCTATATAAATATCTAAATATTATATAAATATAAAAAATATATATATATATATATTTCTGCGATCTTGATCTTGCTTTGATTTCATCTTTATATTCAGGATCCCATCGCAGTATCGTCCTTTCATAGATCTCTTTTTTTTTAGGCAAGTTTCCCAGGTTAATATATTCTGTTCCTCCAAAAATGTTATATCAATTATTTGCTTCATATTCGTATAATCGAAAAAATACATGCAAAATATCAACTGATCAATTTCGTCCTATTGTCGGCCTAGATATAGTCCTAAATAGATATAGTTCCAATAAATGAAAATATGAAATCGAATATGTATAGCCCTCAGCAATTCGAAATTTGCCATACTTTCTAAACAGACCTCGCATGTATTTATGCGTAAGTAGCCTAATTTTTGACCAAGCTCAAGAAGTACTATAATCAAATGATTGCACAGAGCTCGAGTGATGTGCGAAGCACTCACTTGCCAACAGGTTTTCGGAATTTATTGAGCGCCATTCTGACGAATGGCCCAAGAACACGGTAATGTTGGCCAGACATGTTAATAATATATATATATATATTATATTATTTATGTATAGATGTACTTTATATTTGTTATTCAGTAGCCAAATAAGCCTCAGCTGGAAATCGTTAAGACTAATCGTGAGAACGAGCCCCACACATTTATTGATCCCAGAAATTCGTAGCGATTGCCTTAAAGTGTAATACGGACGGACTGTACGGTTATTCATTACGGC